AAGAAAGAAAGAAAGAAAGAAAGAAAGAAAGAAAGAAAGAAAGAAAGAAAGAAAGAAAGAAAGAAAGAAAGAAGGAAAGGAAAGAAGGAAGGAAGGAAAGAAAGAAAGAAAGAAAGAAAGAAAGAAAGAAAGAAAGAAAGAAAGAAAGAAAGAATTGGGGGTATAGCACAGTGTGAAGAAACTGGGCTCAGGCTTCAGGGGGCAGAAGGCTAGGCCCAGGGAAGCACCTCCATTTAGAAGCTGCCAAGGACAAGGCCGCAACTCCTTGAGGTCCCAGGCTCTCTCTGGCTCCTGCTAGCACCACAGAGCCCTTCCTGTGGGCTGACTCTGTCACCACCACTCCACCCTCTGTGGGGGCACTAGGGACAGAGATTGTTCCTGCCACTTCTTCAGTGTTCATGCGCACAGCAGAGCCCCAATCCCCTGCCACATACGTCCCCAGGGAGGTGGACCTGCAGACAGTTCGGATGTACACTGAGCAACTGTCTGGATTTATACCTGGGCTGGACTTAATGGGGGCTCACAGGGAAGAGCCCCCACATTTTTTGGCCCAAGTTCCTCTGGGGACCTGCCCCCCTGGGGCCCCAGTTCCAAGAGCACCCTGCAGGAGAAAGGGAAGGGCGGGTTCTGGGGCCCCATCAGCGTGCCCTACCTGGATGAGCTCACAAAGGCTGGTGGGTGGCCCAGAAATGGGGGTGGGGCAGACAGTGACCCAGGCACCCAGGTGAAAGCAGGTGAGGTGGGCAGGGAGTATTGGGGAAGGACTCGCATCCTGTTCTGCCTCCCTCCTCCAGGGTGTACCATGGCTGTATACTCTCCCTGCCCTTCTCTTCCAGGCAAGCCTGGCTGTGGGTCCCACCCTAGGGTCACACTCTGGGTGACACATCCTGTCCCTGAGAGTCACCCATTCATGTCCACTTTCATACCAGAGCCCTCAAGCAAATGAATCTCGATGTGCTTTATTTTCTATCTATAACTTGGGTGCTCGCTTCTAGGGAGCTGTGGGGATTAGAAAAGAGAGCAGGGCTCTAGGCTGTGCCTAACCAGTCTTCTCAGGCATCTGACCCTCCTCTAGAAATGGGTATATCATATGGCTCTAGAGAGTATTTGCTAAGTTAGTCCATGGAAGGCTTTGAGACCAGTTATTGGGCACAGGTGGGGGTGCCGGGCACACATTGGTAGCCTGGTCTGCCTGACTCTTGCACCAACACCTCTCAGGAGCCAGGCACCTCACCAGGCGCTGGTTGTATCAGCCTAGATGTGGTCTCAGCCTTATTCTTCCTGGCTTGGTGGGAGCTGAACTCCATTAGCAACTGCCATCACTGCCAACAGCCCTGGACTGTGGTCCTCTCTTCTCCCAGTCTTCAAAGCATTGCTTCCAGAAGACCAGCTGGCTTGGCAGAACAGGAGATGGCAGCGTCCACAGGATTCAGAGGCAGACCCTGGCAATTTGGGTTGGGGAGTCCACTGCTGATCCCTGAAATAGGGAGGGGTCTGGCTCCAAAGAGAATAGCCACACAAATTGGTAGTGGACTCCTGCCACCCCTGCCATTGCCCTTGGACCCATGCCAACTTTTGGGGGGACTTTCTGATCTTTCAAGTCATAACTTACTCTGATTCTTTGTTGTGAAGCTCTCTTGTGTATTGCAGCATGCTTAGGAGCATCCTACCCCTTTCATGCCATTGGCAGCTCATGTCCCCATTTGTGACAACCAAAAACATTTCTAGGCATTGCCAAATGTTCTGAAGGCAAAGGTGGTGGTGCCAAAAATTACCACTAGATGAAAAAAGGTCTGTTCAGGTGTGGTACCCTCATCTCTCTCCTCTCCCAAAACATGTAAGTCTTACATTGGGGCTTCTGGGTTTTGCTTATCTTTATATTCCAAATTTTTGTCACAGTTATTGTTGTAATATGCATATAGATCATCATTGTTGGATGGATGGATAGGTGAATGGAGGGTGGGTGGATGGATGGGTAGGTGGATGGGTGGGTGGGTGGATGGGTGGATTGTGGATCGGTGAATAGATGGCTAAGGAAGGAAAACATTCATGGGCAGTAATCTATACTTGTTATCTAAGCTTATATAAAAGCTAACTATCCCGGTGTTCCTCATAATTGAAACCATCTGTCTCTGCTGGCTTTGAGTAAGAAAGTATTGCAGTCCCTCAAGCCCTAGCCCCTGGCAAGGGCATTCTTCTGCTCCCAAGTTTTCTGGCATGCAAGCAGTAAGTTTTTGAGACAGAAATTTTTATTTATTTATTTATTTATTTATTTATTTATTTGGTGGAACCGGGGATTGAACTCAGCCCTTGCGCTTGCCAGGGAAATGCTTATTCCACTGAGCCTTCTCCCTGGCCCCCAAGACAGAAATTTTTGATAAGGAAATTTCTTTCCCTCTTTTCATTAACAGAGAACAAAATCATGGAGTCTTCCAAGATCTTCATGAGACGGCTGCCAGTCACATCAGGCTACAGCGGTAAGTGGCAGCCTGGAGACCACAGTCGTGGTCCTTGACTTGGCCCACTGTCCATATCTGTTCAATGCATTGTGTGAGAGCAGGTGCTCTGGCTTCAAAGAATGCCAAGGAAATACCAGTGCCGATAGCTGGGCTCTGATTCGTGGACAGAAAGGACCAGGTTTCTCCTACATGCATGCTGGAAGTGCTTCAAACCTATTGAATGAATTTCAGCAGGGATAACAGTGCTATAAGCACTGATACAGTAGAAAACTACAGCCCTGTCCTGCCCTGCTGTAGCTTTCTCAAGGCACCCCCACCCAGGGATGACCTGTGCTCTTCTTTCCTGTATCTACTAAAGGGAGGTGGCCAACTGCCCTGTTTATTGGGGGTGGGGACTGCCCTGGCAATAGCATTCAGTCCGTGTCCAGCACCCCCAGGTCCTTGGCAGAATATGACTGTTCGTTACCCTTCCTAAAGACTTTTCCACCTCCGGCTTCTGGGCCACAGAGAATTTACTACATGTCATAGTTGTGGGTGACAAACCCAGTGGCCCCATGTGCCCTCCACTCTCATCCTCCACTATTCCTGGGGACAGAGGTGCTTGGGACTATCCCAAGATCCTAGCCCCACCCTGGACCTACTGGTTGAGTGAGAGAACAGGTTCAAGTCTCTGCATTGCCACCATCTAAGTGACTGTAAGCAACTTACCTCTTCATGGTATAAGGAGAAAATCCTATAAAATTGATGTATTTGTTTCATAGGGCACTACAACCAGTCACCTATAAACTAGGTGGTTAAAAACAACAAAAATGTATTCTTTCTCTCTTCTGTTGGCCACATATCTGAAGTCAGAGTGTCAGTAGAGCCACATTCTCTCTGAAGTCTCTAAAGGAGGAGCTTTCCTTCGTCGTTTCCAGCTTCTGCGTACCCCACGTGGCCCCTGGCTTGTGTCAGCATTACTCTCGCTTCAGCCTCCATCTTCACAGGACTCCTCAACTGGGCTTCTCCTGGGTCTCTAAGTTTATGGACCTCAAGTCTCCCCTTTCCATTTATAAGGACATCAATCATTGGATTGAGGCCCCATCCTAAATCTAGGGTGATCTCGTGTGTAGATTCTTAATCACATCGGCAAAGGCCCCTTTTCCTGGGAAGATCATGTTCACAGGTATCAGGGGACCTATGCCAGGGTCTGGTGCAACCCGCTGCATGGTGTACCATTCATTATTGTGATGATTATAGGGGCCGGCACACAGTCCTCTTCTACATGTCTTAGTCCTTAGAAAGACTCAGAGATGCATGGGTACATCACTCACGATGTTCCTATAGACACACAGAATCTATGCACAGATCAGCACGGGCCCTGCTGGCTGGGAAGGCCCTCGGTTTCTGCACTGTCTCCTATGACTTCAGGGTATCTGTCGATCCTCTATGTGTTCAAACAACTGGATGGTGTGTGGAGGCTTTGAGTGCCACCAGGGTCAGTCCATTAATTTCACTCTTCCAGAGACAGCTTGTTACAGGGCCTGGGGCTTGGGGCTTGCTGCCTTCAGTTCTTTGGTAGGTTTTCTTTTTGTAGGGACCAAAGCAAAAATGTTAGGTTGTTATGCTGAAAGATATTTGTTTGTTTACTTTGCAGTTTAAAATCAACTTCTTAACCAGTGTTCCTCAATGGTTCTTTTTTAAAAAGGTTTTATTGTGACAATATTACAGTACTTAGGGTTCAGCATCCAGTTTAAATAAATAGTTGTGTTTTCCCCGTACTAATTGTAATGATTATATGTTATTTTGTGGGAAATGGTGATAAATTGTCCTAGGGGTGGGTCTTGCAGATAATGAATTTACCTTTTTGTGTAATATGCCTCTGCTTTTAATAAGCCTGCAATTTCCCCATGGTTCAGCCAGCAAGAAAGACCCCAAATTGCATTTGGGAAGTGTCAAGGAAAATACGCTTTCTCTCTAAAAAGAGGAATAATTTCAATTACTCCTCAGACTATCATTTTGGCCCATTAATGCTTTCCCCATTTGCAGTTCACGCTGACATCAGGGGCTTTGCTATCAAAGCGGATGACTGTCATTGCCTTTGCTGAAATGGGCCTTCCCTCCTCCGCTCCAAGGTCATTTTTGTGACCTTGGGAGGGCCCAGCCACAGTGGAAAGAGCAGCACCGCCTGTATTAATGGCCTTTGGAAAAATACAGAGGAGTTGGCTGGGGAGGAAGCCAAAGGGCAGGCCACGGTGGGAGTGTGAGGCGCGGCCTGGATTCCTCGCTGGCCTTGCTCATGGCCACGGCTCCTTGGGCTCTTGCAGGCTTCATTCCGCTCCTCAGTTGCCAGGAAACCTCCAGTGAGGACAATGTGGAGCTCTGTCTGAAAACCTTCCGGGAGACCACGCAGCGACACAAAGACCAGCTGGAGGAGCTCCGCTGCGCCGTGGCCGCGGCTCCAAAGCTGAAGCCCGTCTGCTCCGAGGAGACGGTCCTGCGGGCGCTGCACGAGTACGCCCGGCGCTACCACCCCCTGACTCTGGGTACGGGCGCCCCAGACCAGCCCGTCCCCTTGGCCCTGGACCCACGCGCACACATCGGCAGGCCAGCCCCAGATGGCGTGGAAGCCAGCACGCTGTCCGGCCCCAGCACTTCGTACAGAACGAAAGCCTCAGTTGCTGCATGCCAGAAAGATGTGCATGTAGGGGAGGGACGCAGGCCTGGCCAGACAGGATGGGCTGCTCTGAGAACTCAGCCGGGGTCACCACGGGTTCTAAATCTTGGAGTCTGGTTGCGCAGATGCCGTTATTCTGTTGCATTCTCTGTGCTGGGCATTCGGGTTCCCTGACCACACACAGGACGCCCATGGAGTCCAGACTAGCATACCTCTGGTATAGGAGACCGAAGGTGGCCAGTGGGGGTCACTTGGCTAAGGTTATACAGCCAGCTGCCGAAGTGAGCATGGATTTGAATGCAGCTCCTCCAGGTACTAAGTTTGTAGGAGGCAATGACAATAAGGACGACTTCAGTATATCATAATCAAAACAGTGATTTGACCTAGATTATTTTAAAGTCTAAAAAGCCTATAAAAATAATGGACGGATTATCTTTATTGTTATAATTGTTTGGGAGACTTTTCAAGGCTGTATGATTAATTTACGTGTTTGCTGTGCTTTAGATTTTTTCAAACATTGCAAAGAATATCTGGCCCAAGTGTGTGATTCAGCCCAGCTCCGTAACTACTCGCTGTGTGACCTAAAGTAACTTGCTTCCGCTTTCTGGGCTCCAGTTTCTCCATCGAGGGCTCCTTAGGGCTCCTTCTGGCTCTGAGGTTCTGGGTCACTGAGCTCATTTGAGTCTTCCAGCAATTAGAGGAGACAGTGGGGGCTGTGAAACTGGCTCAAGGTCACCCAGCCAGCCAGAGTCCCAGGGATGACCTACAGGCGGGTGCCTGGTACAAGCAAGTCTGACGTGTTTTCTCCTGCTTCCCAGGATGCTTCTTCCCTCCCATCCCCAATACATAAGGTATCATAGAGGATTCTGGCAGCTTCTTCACTATGCTCAGAGGAAAGCAGGGTCTGTCTAGGAGGAAGGACATAGAACGCAGCCAGGCTGGGCTTAGGCTCTGGCCCTACCAATTCCTGGTTCGGTGACCCCGGCCAAGTCTCTCTGTACCTCTTGCAAGTCAGTTTCTTCCTCCATATGTTGGAGGTAAAGGTGGTGAGAAAATTAATGAGATAGAACTGGGGAGCCCTTTCTTGGTGCCTGGCACATACCACCACCATCCACGGCGGCCACTGCCCTATCATGGGTCTAGGCCTAGAGTAGCTGTGGGCACCAGCTAGTGTGTGGGTACTGCCCACTGTGCAGTACCTTCAGGAACTGTGGTCTCTTTACAGAATGTAAGAACGTGAGGAAACCTCCCCAGGAGCCCCCGATCCCTGGCTGGGCAGGCTTCCTGCCCAGAGCCAGGGTCACTGAGCTGGGCTGTGCCACAAGGTACACTGTCATGGCCAAAAACTGCTACAATGACTTCCTGAAAATCAAGGAGCTGGCCAAGCAGGCTAGGCAGAAATCCTATGCGGAGTAAGTGTGGGTTCTATCCATGGGCAGCGGGAGGAGGGAGCAGCACAGAGCTGGCTGGGTTGGCCGGTGTCCCATCCACACTGGCATTGTCTTGGGTGTCGTTAGTTATAGGGGTGGGACTCATATGTCACCACCAGGCTCCACTCCCCAAGAGCTCAGCTTTTTCACTTAGTGTTCTCCTGGAGGGTCTGTAGGATGGGCTGGGGGTGAGATCCAATAGGGCCATCCTGTCAGGGATGCTGAGGGAGGGACGCGGAAAGTGATACCAGGACACTGTAAGTGGTTCCTGCGGTCTCAATTTCTTCTTCCATAAAATGGAGACAACAATTTTAACCTTTAGGGTAAATTGTAAAAATTAGAAATAAATATAGCATACTCTGCCAGAACTTGCATGCATTATATTAATTCTAATTTTTTTATTAAAAGAAATAACCTTCTGACTTTTGTTCTCACTTTAGACTGTATGGAGGGGGATCCGCACAACCTCCTGCTCCTTCTTCCAAAGTTTTGCAGCATCAAGGGCCACTGGCCACATGCCCTGGCTTCTCTAATTCAGGTATACAAAGACTCTTTCTTTCCTTCCTACTGCTATCCCTCCCTCCCTCCCTCCCTCCCTCCCTCCCTCCCTCTCTCCCTCCCCTCCTTTTTTTGGTAGAACTGGAGATTGAACTCAGGCCCATACCCTTTCCAGGTAAGCGCTTATTCCACTGAGCTATCTCCCCGGCCCCCTCCTCCCTCTCTTTTTGTTCGGGATTTTAGACAGGGTTTTGCTCTATAACCCATCTTGGCCTTTTGCCTCCCCAGTGCTGAGATGACAGGCGTGGGCCACTAGGCCTGGCCTGCTGCACTGCAAAGTGCAAGGAAGTGTTCGCAGAGCCCTCTGTGCATAGCTAGGCCAACTGCTTGCTACTTAGGAGCAGGCACTTCTCTTCCAGGTGGAAGTTGCCCTGCTCTTGGAGGACCCCAGGGCGAGGACGCCAAACCTCCAGTGACGTGTGGCTGTGCTCATAAACCAAATACGGGGAGCAACAGGAAGATTCATCTAGAGCCAGTGCCCTCAGTGAAGTATGCAGAGGGCTAGAAGCCTGCGGTCTGCAGGGAGCCGGGAAGAGGGGTGGTGTCAAAAGCCTGCTGTCCTTGTCTCAGAACTAGCCTCTCACCCACACCCTAGTGGGCAACAAGGAAGTTGAGCAACAACAATTCTTTACTGCTGTCTGCCTTGCAATGGCATGACCTTAGTGACAAAGGCTTTCTTTTGTCCTGTGAGAATAAAGAGGATACTTGGCAGAGTGCCAGAAGATGTTATGGTTGTTGTTCTCAGTGTTGCTGACCTTGAGAAGGGCCAGGGTGAGGTCCTGGCTTTCTAATCCTTGAGGCAAACTTCATTACTGGGCCAGGCTCTTCCCTGAAGCCCCAGACCTGCCCCCTGAACAGTCCTTCTTGGCTCTCCTGGTCCTGGAACAACGTGTCCTCAAAACTGGCATATGCCCATTTCACCCCTGGATTTTAAGAATCCCATTCCCCAGGAGCTCCCAGCTGTCAAATTCCAGGACTGCCCAAAGTACTACATAATGAATGGCTTTGGACAATAGAAGTTTATCGTCTCACAGTTCTGGGGGCTGAAGTCCAAAATCAAGGCTGTTGGCAGGGCCTCAGGCCTCTGACATCTGGATGGGGTCCTCACCTCTCCCAGCCCCTCAGTAACCATTGAAGTCTTTTCTGCATAGCTCCAATCTCTGTGCCCCCCTCCACGCCAAATTATATACTGTTCTCCTTGGGTCTCTGTGTCTTTTTATAGCTATCTGCTATGAAGCCAGAAGTCACCTGGGATTAGGGACCTGCCCTACTCCAGTCTGACCTCGTTTTAACTAACTGTACCTACAATGACCTTATTTTCAAACCAGTTGCATTCTGGGGGATTTTGTTGGAAGGTCCACCTTTCTTTCTGTCCAGCCCATAACGCAGGCTGCTGGGCCCTGCCCTGGGCCAGGCACACTTCGGACCTCACTGGGAAACCTTTAGCACTTGGAAGACACCAGAAACAGCTCTGTAGCTTGCCACCGGACATGCGTGGTCTAAACAGGAAGTGTCCCCCAAAGACTCTTGCACTGAGAGCTTAGTCTCTGTTATGGTTTAGATCCAAAGTGCCCCTCCCCCGCCCTGCCCCTGGAAGTCTCACGTGCGAGGTGCACCTTTTGGAAGGTGACTGGATCTTGACGGCTCGGTGAATTAATCTGATGCTTTTCAACCCCTAGCTTCATATGTTAGGGGAAATGGGGTTTAGTTGTAAGAGGTGCGCCCCTGCGGTGTGACCCAGAAGAGGCGCTTTTGTCCTCGGTTCCTCGCTTCTCTCTGCTTCTGAGGCTTTCCTCCGCTTCACTCTTCCACGTGCCATTTCTGCCTTGAAGCCCTCTGACCACGTGTGGGTTGAATGCTTCAGAGACCAGGAGGCACATACTTAATACAATTAAAAAAAAAAAAATCAAAATCAAGAAACAGATCGGATGGGGCCGGGCAGATAGCTCAGTAGAATAAGCGCTTGCCTGGCAAGTGCAAGGGCCTGAGTTCAATTCCCGGTCTTGAAAAAAAAGAAAGAACGAAAGAAATAGATCGAAGGCCAAATGATCTATCAATTAAATATTTATTTTAAAGAAATATGTAGGGAGCCGGGGAGTTAGCTCAGTAGAATAAGTGCTTGCCTGGCAAGCGCAAGGGCCTGAGTTCAATCCCCAGTTCCGCAAACAACAACAACCAAAACAAAACAAAACAAAACAAAAAAACCCCAACCAAACAAACAAACAAAAAAACAAAAAACCCCACAAACAAACAAACAAAAAAGAAAAAAAAGGAAAAACAAAAAAGAAATATGTAAAACATAACAAAACTGTTATTTTGTTTTCAACACTGCTGTGGTCTGAAATTTCATACTTCTTATTACTTGTTAAATCCTAAAATCTTATGAGTAGGTTTCAGACCACTGTTCTAGATCTTTCATTTTGTTTTTTGAATTCAATGAGGCTTTTTTATGTGTGTATATGTGACATGCACGACAATCTGTAATGCTCTCTGAATTGTCAATTGTATGAAAGTTACGAAAATGATACATTTTTATTTTATATAAAATATTAAAACAAAAAATAAAAGATTTTTTAAAATTTCAAAAAGAGAAAACAAGTAAACCTGGGAAACTTATAATGATAATACATGAACAAATAATGTAGTACATATATTTTTGAGCTTTTAATATGATAAATATTGATAGATATAACTGCTGGTATGCTGGAAATCTGCCTCTGAAAAATATCTAGTGGTTTTGTAGGGTTTTGCTTGATCAAAACTTGCTTATTTGTATAATCATTTTAATGAAATTTCTCATGTTATATAATGAAAGCTGTAAAAAATTACAAAAAACAAAAACAAACAAAAAAACCCACAAAAAACCCCAAACCAAAACCAGGAGGCAAACCTCCCCTTCCTTATGGGTGGTGAGTATTTTGGCTCAGCCATAGAACAGTGACAAATACAGATCTCCACACAGCCGTGTTCAGAGGTGAGGCCTAGAGAATTGCTTGATTGGATCACAAGGGCTTTAACTTCATCAATGAATCCATTGCCTTGACGAGATCATAATTCTGATCACATTGTTGAGCGGTGATATTGGAGGTGGGGCTAAGTCTAAGGGGAGAGATCATGGAGTGTGACCTGGGTGGCTCTATGAGTCCCCAACTGCTCTCTGTCTCGCTCCTCCCTCTTTCTGCCTCCCATGAGCTGAGCAGCTTTCTCTTCCTTGCCGTTCTGCTGCGATGCTTCTGCCTTGCCATGGGCCAAATGCAGTGCACATGTGTAGCCACAGACTGACCCTCGGAAATCATAAGCCAGAGCAAGCCTTTTCTCCTCTAAGCTGTTTTTCTTAGCTATTTTGTCACAGCAGTGAAAAGCTAAAGCATAGGCCAAAGGGAACATTGGCATCAGACAGTGCAAAAGTGTGCAGAGCAAGAGGCTCCCTGCCCTCCCAAGGTGCCATGGGTTAGAATCAGGAGGATGGAGAACTTCAGTTTTGACAGTTCGGTGCTTTGACAGTTCAGTGTTTCCTGCATTAATAAATGTCAGCAACAGATGCAGCAGGACCTGTCACCTCAACTCCAGAGGAATCAGAGATCTTTTTATATCATATGTCATTTATTGTGAGCAGCTAGAAATAATGTTAACCAGACCTCTATTTTACAGTTATGGTGGTTAGTATAACTATTATTCTCTAATACGCTGTTTCAATAGAGAAAGAAACTTTTATATAGATATTGTGTATAGATCTGGTCTTTTTCATAACATATGATTTGTAATGTTACATATTTTACTGTGTACATTATTCTAAGAAAAGGCTTACGGGATTCGCCAGTCAGCATGAGCACCCAGAAATGGCTAAGAACCCTTGAACAGAGAGATGGCCAAGCAGGATGTGTATAAAGGGCATCTGTCTTACAAAACGAAGTAACTTTATCTCTGTGGGATGCAGGATTATAATATAGATGATCATTTAAAAGGTGATGAAAAGGATGAATATTGCTATGAAAAAACAGGACACAGTTCATGAAGACAAGAGGTTATTTGAGATACAATCGTTGTAAAGTTATGTGTGTACACAGATACACACACACACACACACACACAGCAATTGCGTTTTTTGCTTAACTGAAGGAGTTAGCTAACCATGAAGCCTAGCAATGGTGCTACTGGTTCTCTTTTCTTTGTGCTTTTTCTGATTTTTTTCTCAGCCAGCAGGTATTGCTCTCATAATCAGGAAAAAACATTATCCAAGGAGCTTTATTTGAATTGAAGACATTACCATATCTTCATTAAAAGCTATGTTAGTCTTTGGGGATTATGTATTTAAACAGGGAAACAAAGCCATACCTCAAAAGGAGGTGGTTCCCATTCTCTTCAAAGGACTTGGGCAAAGATTGATGATTATTTTCTAGTTTTCTTAAAACTGTGGAAGAGCCAGAGAGATAGCTTGGTGGTCTAAGCATCTGCTCGGCAAACTCAAGGAACTAGGTTTGATCCCTGGTACCACATGGCATGCCAGCCCCACACTGAACTGGCCACTGAAATTGGGTGTGGTGATGCACACCTGTAATCCAAGCACTGGGGAGGCTGAGACAGGAGGATCACTATGAGTCTGAGCTGCATAGTGAGACCCTGTACCAAATGAATAAGTAAAAAGATTTTTAAAAACTGTAGAAGAGTGACCTCAGACTCCCAGATAGCAAAGTAGGAGTTGGATGCCAAACTGCTGAGGGTCACAGGACCCAGGAAACTGCATCACTGAAGTCTCCTCAAAAGTGAATGACATGGAAGGCCTGTCTGTTTGGCTCTCTTTCCCAAACACAGTTTGCAGATGGCCACACAGAGCCAAGACCCTGGGGTGTGAGGACCGGCCGCTGCTTGCTTTCTCCATGGGGCTATATTTTACATCAGTATTTAAGGAGATGACTAATTTGTTTTGCTCTTTTTTTAAAAAAGCCTTCAGCTGTAAGATCATGTAGAGTGTGCCTAAGGGGAGTCACATGGAGAGAAAACACTCTCTCAGGCTTTCACAGAGAGCACATTGGCCAAGCAATGGCCATGACTCATCCACACGGCTGACACTGACAAAGGATCTACAGTCTGAGGTGCAGGATCTCAGGATAAATCCTGAGGGGATTTCACTGACTTTATCAGACCCCAAAGCTACAACTCTTGTTGCATAGGTCCTGCTTTACCTTTGTCTTAACCATACAGCAGAAAAGTATAAAAACAAAATATAAGAAGTAAAGCCATGCTGTTATGTTGAGCTATAGGGGACTCAGGTCAATGGTTTCTGACATTGCCAGTGAAGTGGAAGACCCAATACTATTATGGACTATTGGACTCTTTTAGAATATTTTGCTGAGCTAACACACCTATAATATTCAAATAATGGAACTTAACAAAAA